TTCTGTTTGTCTTGTGATTCCTAAACTTTGAGAGAATGTGACACTGTGGAACTACCAGTTCAGCTCCTTTCACAATTTCAAATCACGCACACAACAACAAAGACTCCAAGAAAGGAGGGATAATGAGCATGAAATCTGAATTCACATTTTCAAAGAACACTGGGCTGTAAGAAAGCAATATATTTTTATTTTTATTTATTTATTTTTAATACCCTTAGTGTATTCTCACTCCTATGTTTGGCTAGATGTTAATTCCATGAAGGAAAAAGCAGCAAAGTCCTTATTAAAGAGAAACAAAGACTTTTTTCCTGCCAAATGAAGCGCTTAACCTGAAAACTGTTGCAACAGAGTAACGCTTACTGTATCAGCAAATAAAGCCAAGTATAACCACTAAACATACTTGAGTGAGTGCAGAAGTTCTGCAAAAAGCCATAAACACCACAGTTACAGCTGTGGTCTCGACCCTTTCAAATCTGCAGGCCACTAAATTTTTCCATTTTTTTCAGAGAATTCAGCCTGTTGAGGTAATGAGCAGCTACCTTTCTTTGTTACTATTTTCAGGCCTTTCAGAAATAATCCAAGGTATCCAAGTATATCTATCGTTGTAATTTTGCAGACACACATTGCCTCTAACTATTTTCAGCGTAAAGGAAACCAAGCCCTGCATGTCTAATATAACATCCAATATTAGAGCCTTGAGGCATGATCTTTTCTACTACCTGCAAGAACCTTCTATCTGTCCGAGAAGCACTTCATTTGTGCATCTGGGACATGCAACCTCACCACTCCCATATGGTTAAATTTTCTAGGGCTACACAGCCCATTAAATAAACATGCAGATCAGCAGTTACTTCACTGGCAATTTCAAATGGTAATTTAACAATGAGTTTGTTCTCATGAAAGAAAGCAAATGTTGGATAATTAGGTTTATAGTTAATACAGTTTTACTTTATATGACTGTACAAGAGAAGGCAAGAATATTTCATCTTCATGAGCTTTCTTGAACATAGAAATACTTCTATGAAAGGCAAAGTTTTAAAATTTTCTTCTGTGAATGAAAAATTCTGGCTTTGGTATCAGACTTGGGTGATGGTCCCATGAAACTGAAGCAGGGTGAAAGAAAATACTATCTGACTCAGATCAGGGTTGTTATTGTTTTGGTTCTGTCCTGCTTTGTGTTCCTTTATACTGCCCAGCAACAAGAAAAAAGGAAAAGCCTAAGACAGGAGCACCATCTCCACAATCAGGAATGTACTCATTAAGTTAAAAAAAAAAGGAAAAAACAACAACTTGTTTATGAAGGTTAGTCCACATACTCATTTGTAAATTCTCATTGTTGATTTTGAAAAACATCATGAGAAAGGTTCAGAGATTGTTTCTGGCAAAATTAATCAGCTTCTCCAGAAAATAGATCTTAGTTTTTTTCTTACATCATTTTAACGGTTTTGTCTATGTATAAAAGCTACACCAACATAATCATGAGTTCTCACTTTTAATCCTATTGATGCTAGTAGAAAAAAACCCTGCGTGGTAATTCTTACCATAAAAATAAGGGCAAGATTTCAGTTTAACTTCTGCCACTTCATGTAGAACTTTTAAGCAGAAAAACAAAGACTCCACCGTTGATTATTCTGACATCATTGGCCAAAACCTGACACTACTCCAAGCACAGAGGCACAGGCTTTACTTGGGCTGCACTGCTGAGCCATGCCAGCAGCATAGCAAAATGCGCATGATTTTAAGGAAAGAAAGCCACCAAATAACTCTAATGAAAAACATAAAATAGGAATAGCACATATAAACTGCAGGTTTTGACGTTCCACATTAATATTTCATTTCCTTCGTGTAACATTACTCCCTATTTTGGTGACTCGGTCTCTGCTGCACTCTGCTCGACCGCTCTCAAAACAGACATACACATTTTTAAACTTTTAACGACGCTTCTCGCGAGGCCGGGGAAGTTAACGGACACACAGAGAGGCAGGTGGTACCTGGTCGCCCGGCGGGCTAAGGGCACTTGGAGCCGCTCTCCGCGCCG